TGAGTTTAGGGCAATCGGTTCGTAGCTTTGCGATATACAGTAGTCACGAGGAGCGACCAAAATTCCTGACATGCCAAAAATTCATCCGACCTTACCATTGTCGATCGTGAGAGGTTAATCGCCTCTCGTTTCACGACGCACGACAAAGCTGAAAATCGGTCCGACACGAAAAAGAGTCGCACGAGTCAGAATTCGGCTCTTCAAAAAACAAACTCTCTCACACACATTTAGCTATCTAAAGGAGGACAGAACATGTATTGTTTTATATAAACCTTATTTTTTTTAAATATATTCTAAAGAAAATGTGTGCAAAACTGCCATAATGCAGAAACGCTGCAGGACGAACTCCACTATAGTACTCGTGATGACTGACTTAGTGAACACTACAGGCTATTAAAGACTAGCTAGAGTAAATCCAGCGTTTAATGTTGTTTATGTGTGTATGTGGTGTGTTTAATCCGCTTTCCGTCTCAAAAACACAAAATCGCTGGTGTTTCTGACGTCACAAACCGCCTTGTAACCAATCAGATCAACGTGTGATCGTCAACCAGTGGATCTCTGAGTGAGTGGAGGCGGAGCTCATTCGCATATTACATACTAAATGAGGTGAGGGTGTCGAGTTACATTCAAGATATTTTAACGCTTGAAGACTTTTTCCTTTATCCAAGGAAAAACATTTAAATTAGTAATTTTGGTGATCAAAGATGAGTTTTAATGAATACAATTATTGACTACAGGGACTTTGAGATCTAATGATGTCTTAAGATGTCACACACACACACACTCTCTCTCTCTCTCTCTCTCTCTCTCTGGCTTGCTTAATTGAAGACACCAAAATATTCAGCAATATTAATGATCTGACTGTACTAATGTCTGAGGACTGAACTGAGCTGGACGATGACATCATGTAATAATTGATGATCTTTACAACACATCTGACTTCATCTGAACAACAGACCAAACTTTCCTGTCCTCATATATTGTATAAAGTGCTATAAAGCTAACACACATCTATCCATGTACACTATTCTCCCCCCCCCTATCTCTCTCTCTCTCTCTCTCTCTCCCTCTCCCTCTCTCTCTCTCTCTCTCTCTCCCTCTCTCCCCCCCTCTCTCTCTCTCTCAGCGATCAGGAACAGAAAGGCGGCAGATGCTTTCGCTTGACAACCTGCCGTCTGAGTTCCTGTCTGATGAAGTTTCTCTGATGAAGTTTCTCTGGGTTTCTCCACACGTTCTGGTTTCTGACACTCGCATCTGCCGGGATGCGCACCGCTGATATTTCCACACATAAGGATGAACAATAAATGACAGGCGTTCTTTATAAACGACTCCATCATGAGAGGAGCTATTGTTTAACAGATGGAAACGTGAAGCGCGCTGTCATGATGAAGCGTGGGCGAGAGAACCAGCGCTCTATACACACGAGAGAGAGACACACTGCGTGTACTTCACATGTTGAGTCTTTCCTTCTCTGTGTTTGTCGTTCTGTAAAGTTTTTTCTTTAGACTGCAGATCAGAAGTCATTCAAAGAGGTTTTCTCTTCCAGGTATGTTCCTAGTGGGAAATTCCTAGTTGTTTTTTCCTAGCTAAAAATTCCTAGTTGTAGTTTCCTAGTCGGATATTCCTAGTTGTAGTTACCTACTTGGAAATTCCTAGTTGTAGTTTCCTAGTCGGATATTTCTAGTTGTAGTTTCCTAGTCGGAAATTCCTAGTTGTTGTTACCTACTTGGAAATTCCTAGTTGTAGTTTCCTAGTCGGATATTTCTAGTTGTAGTTTCCTAGTCGGAAATTCCTAGTTGTTGTTTCCTAACATTAGTTTCCTAGTTGGAAATTCCTAGCTAGAAATTCCTCGTTGTAGTTTCCTAGTTGTAGTTTCCTAGTCGTAAATTCCTAGTTGTAGTTTCCTAGTCGGATATTTCTAGTTGTAGTTTCCTAGTCGGAAATTCCTAGTTGTTGTTTCCTAACATTAGTTTCCTAGTTGGAAATTCCTAGCTGGAAATTCCTAGATGTAGTTTCCTAGTTGTCGTTTCCTAGTCAGAAATTCCTAGTTGTAGTTTCCTAGTCGAAATTAAATTCCTAGTTGTAGTTTCCTAGTCGGATATTCCTAGTTGTAGTTTCCTAGTCGGATATTCATAGTTGTAGTTTCCTAACATTAGTTTCCTTGTTGGAAATTCCTAATTGTAGTTTCTTAGTTGGAAATTCCTAGTTGCAGTTTCCTAGTCAGATATTCCAAGTTGTAGTTTCCTAATATTAGTTTCCTAGTTGGAAATTCCTAGCTGGAAATTCGTATTTGTAGTTTCCTAGTCAGAAATTGGACACCAGCTCCCTCTCAAATCGTATTTCCCACTGGGAAGCTCAGGGATGATTGACACCTGGAATGAACGAATATCTTGTAAAGCATTCTCGCACTCAGATGAGACACTTCCTGAAAATCATCTTTATCATAACGACCTTTTACAGAATTTACATTTATGCAGATGCTTCTATCCAAAGCCACTAACACTGCATTCATGTGTACAGTTCATCAGTTCACACACATTGCCTGGGAGTCGAACCCGTGAGCGTGGCGTTGCGAGCGTCATCCCTTTTTACACCATCCTTTCTGCAGTTTCTGTCCACAAACAGAGTCGTTACATTTAGTTCATCCCGAGATATTTCAGCGCAATTCCTAAAACTTCTCTAATATAATACAATACAATGGATAATAAAATAAAATATTGAATTTATAATTTGCAATTCAGACTTTAGATATAAACTCGCAATGGCGAAAATATTATTTTTTTTTCAGATAAACAAAACACACCACCAAAACGAGTGTGTCCATCGGTCGACAGCGCTGAGATGCGCACATGTAGACGTTTGCTTGGAAACGGACGTGATTGAGACGAGAGATGAAGTTTAATCGATAATAATCAAATCATACTCCGCATCTTCATATTTTCCCCATTAACACCCACCGGTAATACATAAAGATGAGGCCTGTACTACTGAGAGCACATTAACACACACATTATCATTGAATAAGCATGAAACACACACACACACAGAGAGAAGACTGGATTAGATTAGGTACAGAGTCACAGAAGGGCAGGAAGTGATGAAGCGTTTCTATGGAAACAGCCTTAAAGACGACCTGACCATATAAAGAGGAAGACGTTCACGATGATGCTCTTCTTCAGTTACACAACTACACACTCGCACAAATCTCCGTTCCCGTGACGTCGAACAATCGGGTGTGTTGGATTACGTGGATGATCTTATTTCAGCTTGAACTGCCACATTAAACAGATTAAGAGGATTTATGCAGCATATTCCCCTGAGGTCACCAATATAATCAGGGAAGATGTGTGTTTGCTGCTGTACGCCCGTAATCACATCATCCACCTTCAGCTGCAAAACTCAGATTTAAGGCAAGACACACTAAGAAAACATCCAAATACACATTTAAGTGTTTATTGGGTTCGTACAGATACTATAAGATGGAAGTCCAGGACTTTCCAGCACTACAATCTGAGATCTCACTTATCAAACAATAACTTTATAATAGTTCAAATTAAAAAAAAGGTAAATAGATCAATTAGATAAACTAGTAAGTGCAGTGGATGTGTAATCCCTGAGAGGACACTATGATGGAGATATCGCTTCCCTTATTCATATTCCCCGTATGAATATATGATTGAGCTGAAGAATAAGAGCGGTGTCATATACTTGATATGAGGAATACCTCTCATGTGAAATGGCTCTATATCTATCAGACGGTGATTTGCATGAAAAGATTGCTTTATCGATTAAATTAATACCAATTTCACATATAATGTCTTTCAATAATTCAAGCACTTTTCAAATACCTTTTCATAAACATGTCTGTTTTCACTAGTTTTCAAGGACTTCCATTCAAATTCAAGCACTTTTTCCAGCTCGTACGCGCCATGTTTACAGCATTATCTTCATGCACTCAATAAACCAGGGAAACATGGGGATGTTTATTAGATTTCTCTGCAGTGTCTTGCCTTAAAGCTTGAGAAACGAGTCCTGGTATTCCTAGTTGTAGTTTCCTAGTCTGATACCTCTAGTCGGATATTCCTATTTGTACTTTCTTAGCTGGAATTCCTAGTTGTAATTTCCTAGTTGTAGTTTCCTAGTCGGATATTCCTATTTGTACTTTCTAAGCTGGAATTCCTAGTTGTAATTTCCTAGTTGTAGTTTCCTAGTCTGATACCTCTAGTCGGATATTCCTATTTGTACTTTCTTAGCTGGAATTCCTAGTTGTAATTTCCTAGTTGTAGTTTCCTAGTCTGATACCTCTAGTCGGATATTCCTATTTGTACTTTCTTAGCTGGAATTCCTAGTTGTAATTTCCTAGTTGTAGTTTCCTAGTCGGATATTCCTATTTGTAGTTTCTTAGCTGGAATTCCTAGTTGTAATTTCCAAGTTGTAGTTTCCTAGTCTGATATCTCTAGTCGGATATTCCTATTTGTATTTTCTTAGCTGGAATTCCTAGTTGTAATTTCCTAGTTGTAGTTTCCTAGTCGGATATTCCTATTTGTATTTTCTTAGCTGGAATTTCTAGTTGTAATTTCCTAGTTTGAGTTTCCTAGTCTGATATCTCTAGTCGGATATTCCTTTTTGTAGCTTCTTAGCTGGAATTCCTAGTTGTAATTTCCTAGTTTGAGTTTCCTAGTCTGATATCTCTAGTCGGATATTCCTTTTTGTAGCTTCTTAGCTGGAATTCCTAGTTGTAATTTCCTAGTTGGAGTTTCCTAGTCTGATATTTCTAGTCTGATATTCCTATTTGTAGTTTCTTAGCTGGAATTCCTAGTTGTAATTTCCTAGTTGGAGTTTCCTAGTCGGATATTCTTAGTTGTAGTTTCCTAACATTAGTTTCCTAGTCGGAAATTGGACATGAACGCCCTCTCAAATCATATTTGCATTGATGTTTGAGAAGCGAGTCTGGTCCTCATGCACACGGCGAACACACGACAGAAGCGGAGGATAGTCACCAGAGGTTCACCAGGAACACATGTTCGATCTCCTGCAGGATCTCCAGCTCTCGGAAGACGTTGCGGACCTCGTCGCGCTCGATGCACTGCTGCTTGTTCATGTACTTCATGGCGTACATCTTTTCTGTGTCCCGCTTCTGCACGATGCACACCTGCACACACACATACACGCGAGAGAGAGAGAGAGTTAGCGAGACCGCGTTAATGACATCAACATACATCATTATAGACTCGCGACTGATATTAATAACCCGTTCGCTGCAACCGGCACAAAATGCCACGGGTCAGAGATCCTCCACGAACACACAATCTGCATTAAAAGCTCATTAAATGATAATCAAGAGTGTGTGTGTGTGTGTGAGACAGAAATAAAGGTCAAACACTGTGTGGACTGGAGCAGCACCAAATGAAAATATGATGTTAATTTTACTGGAAATTCTGAGACATACATACATATTTATATGTCATTAAATAAAATGTAATGAAATTTTATTTTTCTCAAATTGTTCTTAGCTCATAGGAGTAGATATAAAATGAATGAATCAGTCTCAATCAGGGCAAAAGCAACTGAGTCACGGAATCATTCATTCAATCATTTAAAGACAGCGATCGGCCTGTGCAGAACCTGAGGAACAAGACAAACCCGTCAATGAATCATTCAACAGACTCAAAAACATAGAGTCTTTCAGGGGGAAACAACAAGTGAGTCATAGAATCGCACACGTCACTGAATCATTCATTCAACCAATTCATTCAAATGAACGAGAGAGTCATCGAATCACACACTCAAGCGATAGGTTTTAATGAACAGCTTCGTTCAGGAGAGTCATTGAATCACTCATTCAACCGATTCATTCAAATGAACAGCTTCGTTCAGGAGTGTCATTGAATCATTCATTCAACTGTTTTGTTCAAAAGATTCATTCACTAACAAACATCATGAGTCATTGAATGATTGACGACTGATTCGATGTAATCAGTCGTAGGATGAATTGAATAACTCTTTATTTTGCTAATTTTACGATCTATTCTTCATTCGTCCTGATTCCGGCGTTCAGTGAACTGAAACGAGCCCCAGAACGACTTCTGGAAACGGCTCTGATTCTGTCAAACGGATCCTGAGGCGAAAACCAAGTCATTCCGCGGTGCGACCGAAACAAGCAAACAGAATTATCTGGAGGAAATGGCCTTGGGAGCGTCTCATCGAAATGTTGTTTTCCTGAAGTGCAGGAAAGCCTTTGAGCTCTCCGTGTTTCGCTCCGTAATTACATCCACTTTGACCCAGTGCTTCACAGAAGACTGAAACCTCCAATACAGCCCTGCCCGCCGGCTCCGAGAACTGCGATAACCAGAACAAATCTCCGTGAGGAGAGGAGACGGATCACTGCGATCTAATCACCCGCTCCGAAACAACACACACACACACACACCGTCACAATAAGAGGCTTCGCTTAAAGTGCTAATAAAGTGCAAAAAATGATGTTTTCCAGCACAAATATAAACATTCTCAAATCAAGATGCATTTACTGAAGAACAACAATGACTGGACACATTAAGACATGTTTAATTCAATTTTTGCCAAAATGAAGTGAGTTTAAAACAAGAACAAATCTCTGCCAATGGAGTCACAGGGAAAACGAGACTATTCTTCGACTCCATTGGCAGAGATTAGCTCTTGTTTTAAACACAAACTCACTTCATTTTGACACACTATTGCTTCCCCAGATAGCAAACTGACATTGAATCAACGTGGAAACGACGTCTCTCATGACATTGAAACAACGTTGATTTGCTCATCGAATTAACGTTGAACCAACGTCAGACGCGGCATTCTTCAAAGCTAAATGAAATCGAAAATTGGTTTGCTTTCATAACGTTGAAACAACGCGTTGATTTCAAGTTGATTTTCCGTTAGTTTTGGAAGAATGACGCGTCTGACGTTGGTTCAACGTTAATTCGATGAGCAAAACAATGTCAGATCAACGTTGTTTCGATGTCATATTTCCACGTTGATTCAATGTCAGTTTGTTATCTGGGTCTCCACTAAACATGTCCAGATATTCATACTGGAAAAAAGGAGGCCGTGTAATGCATCTTTAACAATCTAATAAAGTTCACATTTATCTCTCACTCCAAACATGAATGAAGCGCATGAACCTCCCGCTGGCTGCGTTCACGGCTCAATATTCATGAGCAACACCTTCAACACACATTACACAGGTTGTTAAAGGTCGGCTGTTGGCTGTGCTGAAGGACTGTTGCATGTCATTTATTTCAACATTTCAGTTCAATAGCGCTTAGTTTCAAACACATGAGAAGAGAGAGTTTAAGGGGACCAGAAGCTCCATCAGCTGCTTCATTCTCATTCCCCGAAGCTTCTTAGATAGAGAGAAAGAGGTGAGGAAAGACGACAGAAGCACAAAGAGTCTTTTCTCAGATGTAAACACACTCAAACCCCGGCGTTTACGGACTGAGCTCTCGTCACATCGTCCACACCTTATTAAAGCAATCCCGCAGCCTCGGCCAAAACCATCAAATTAAATGTGATACGCTTCCTTCGCTTTTGGTCGACCGTTCTGTGATTATGATTTTTGGTGGAGACTCTGGGTACCATGGTTACCATTTCTGCTCAGAATCCAAATGAGGAACAATGACTTCCCTTTCCTAGACGCCGATGTCAATCTTTATAAAGCAATATTTAATTAGCAACAGAATATCTCAGCACCTCTTCACCACGATTACGGCCCTTACATGCATAATTCATCCCAGATCTTGAAAATAAATGAAAGGAAACAGGAATGCTCGAATTGTGAATAACCAAGTGTACTCGATGACAAAGATTGTTTCAGGCACTCAGTGTGTGTTTTTAATAATGGTAAAATGGTGTAATATTTATTCATTTGATTATGTGCATTTGCAGAGAGACTCCACCCACACGCTCTTCTGATTGGCTGTGATTTGTAAATGATTTTGGAAAGACAGAAATCTGCTTATTTTATCGACCTTCTCAGAAGAAAACGAACACAACTCTAGGTATTTATTTGGTACAGTGACTACATTAATGAGAAATAAAGCAGTTTCCAACCACAGCAGTAGTGACTTTATGAACTACTTTTCTTGTAAAACAGAAATATTGCGCTTGCAGAGAGACTCCGCCCACACACTTTTCTGATTGGCTGTGATTTGAGATTGATTTGAAGGGAGACTCCGCCCATGCACTCTTCTGATTGGCTCTGATTTGAAGGGAGACTCCGCCCATGCACTCTTGTGATTGGCTGTGATTAGGGATTGATTTGAAGGGAGACTCCGCCCATGCACTCTTGTGATTGGCTGTGATTAGGGATTGATTTGAAGGGAGACTCCGCCCATGCACTCTTGTGATTGGCTGTGATTAGGGATTGATTTGAAGGGAGACTCCGCCCATGCACTCTTCTGATTGGCTCTGATTTGAAGGGAGACTCCGCCCATGCGCTCTTCTGATTGGCTGTGATTTGAGATTGATTTGAAGGGAGACTCCGCCCATGCACTCTTCTGATTGGCTCTGATATGAGATTGATTTGCAGGGAAACTCCGCCCATGCACTCTTCTGATTGGCTCTAATTTGAAGGGAGACTCCGCCCATGCGCTCTTCTGATTGGCTCTGATATGAGATTGATTTGCAGGGAGACTCCACCCATGCATTCTTCTGATTGGCTGATTTGAGATCGATTTGCAGGGAAACCCCGCCCATGCATTCTTCTGATTGGCTGATTTAAGATCGATTTTTGAGTGCAGCAGGAAGAAAACAAAACCAGAGGTATTTTGCATTTCATGGAAAGACAGCAGTATTGCATACAGAAAAGCCTAGACCGTCCCATAGTACCAAGACAGCTCTCAGCTCTCAATCGTAGTGCTGCATTTGATATGATTGACTACAATATTCTTTTGAATAGACTCGAAAAATTAGGTTGGCATTAATGGAATTGCATTGGCATGGTTCAAATCGTAGTTCAGCAATAGCAGTGAATGAAGAGATGTCGTATTGATTTCAAGTTCAGTATGGTGTACCACAAGGCTCAGTAGTAGGACCCTAACCCTAATTCTAAAACCACTGTTAAAACTGAAGGAAATATGAAGGATGCAATCTTGACTTACTCAAGATTAACATGGAAATGGCATAAACTGCATGTTATGTACCCTTTATGACTTTGTTTTTACAGTGTAGATGAATGATCCTTGTCACTTTCTCATGAGAACACACAGCTCTCTCTACTCAAAGCGTGTTTTACGTAACCCTGCATAATGTCGCGTTATGAATGCGGAGGCGCTGGGGTTTGCAGAGAGTCTTTACTTTTTTAAGCTTCTTCTATTCCCATGACTCTGATATATTTAGCCGCTCTATCCATTGTTGTCACAAAGCCTCTGGTAGGCCAGACCCAGCCGAGAGAAACTCTGTTCAATCTACAGGAGACTCGTATCAAGTGTTGGGTTTCTGGGTCACACAACTGCTGATAGAGCAAGACGTCTAACGGATATAAACCCGAGAGCTGCAGACGAACTCACACACCGCTTCAGTCTTACGCTGAAAAATAAAGAGCTTTTTTGCACTGATGCCATAGAAGAACCTTCAGTAACACTTTACAACAAGGTTTCATTCGTTCAATACTTTATTAATCACAGTTGAGGTTCATTTCAACATTTACTAATACATTATTTAAATCAGAGGTTGTGTTTGTTAACATTAACAATGAACATGAACAAACAATGAGCAGCTGCGTTTAAATAAAAATACAGTAACATATATGTTTCTCATTGTTAGTTCATGTTAGTTAATGCAATAACAAAGGTTAATAAATAAGACCGTACTGTAAAGTGTTGCCGAACCATTTCTGGTTCCCCAAAGAACCTTTTAGCAAACCATCCTGAAAAGAACCATTTTGTTCTTAAAGAACATTTGAATAATAGAGCGGAGATTGTGGAAGTGGGAATCCTTGAAGTGCTTCAGGTCACTAACGTACATCCAACAACCGAACATTTTGACTTGCCCTCTCGTAACTTCTGCATCATTGAGCTCGGACTACTAAATCACAGCGAGAAATCATAATGGCGGATTGCTCGAAGTGTTGGGCCGGTAGTCGATGTCTTTACTTGGCGGTTCTGCTGCAAATACGGT